ACCATAGTAGAGTTTAAAGTGGATTCCAGGGTCACAAGTTGTGAATAAACAGGGTCAGCCCTGGTAAGTACTTGGATGGGTGACTCGCAATGAAGACCAGGTATTGCAGGCTATATTTCAAAGGAAGGAACTTGCAAAACCACCTCTGAGTATTCCTTATCCAAGAAAACTGTGAGATCCATGAGGTCACCATAAACCAACAAGAAACTTGAAGGCACACACACATGCAACATAGCTGAATATGAAGTAGTCATGACTCATAATTCTATATTGCAAATTTGTAACTTCAATGTAAGATGCCACTTTATGTTTTTAAGCTGCTTTTGATCCCTAAGACTGTTTAACCGCTGTCAAACAATAACAGTAATGACATATGTATAGGGGAAAGTATGTACTCTATATTGGGGTTCAGGTATACAAGTATACAGTTTTTCTCAGGAACTTGCTGATATGTTGTACTTGCCTGAGAGAGATCAATCAATATTCCATGAAGTTCACTTCTATCCTTCTATACCTATGCACACCTTTTGAAAGGTGCCCCTGATTTCCAGATGGCTAAGAAGCAGTATGCAAAAGTAATCTGAGTATGCAGTATTTACTTATGGAAGGTCTTGACTCAGTGCTACATCCTGCAATATAAGATTTGCAGGTTCCTTCCAGTATTGTGATTCTATCATTTTATAACCAAGAGTGGGATGAACTGGGGACTAACAAACTGAAGGCACAGAACACATCAAGGAAAGGGCATGATTTTTTTTTTAAAGAAAAGAGTTTGCATTGTTTCCAGCTTTTGTCTTCTGTCTATATATCTCTGCCTAGTTTTCTAATTCAAATGCTTGATTTATCTTTTCTTCAAAATGTATAAATAGATGCAAGTCTTGTACATTTCACCTTACCATTATAAGATGTGTGTGTGTGTTTAAGGGAAGATACCTTTCATCTCAACTAGATGGAAATCAGATTGGTAAAATATATGATAAGCAGTTCTTTTTTCATTATAAAATTTGATAATCTGTGTTGAAATGACTCTGTATTGTTTACTTTTCTTCTCCTAATTCATGGGGAAGAAGCTGAGACTGTTTATCAGCTGCCTGCCACAACTCAATCAAGGAGATTTTAAGGCCTTATAATTAAATATACCCTTCATTAAAACTGACAAGGAATATAGCAAGATTATAGGTGAATGCTCTCAGACAGCTGAAGGTCACTATTTCATGAAGCAACATGTTCCATGCTTCCTCCAGCCCTGAATGGCTGTGTTTCCCCTCTAAAACTATTCTCTACTGGAAGATGAATAATTGGCATATAAATATTGGAACATGGATCATTTCAATTATTCAATATGTTTTTGTTTAAGCAGACACAGGATATGTTTTGTTAAAGACTTTGTGAAGTGATACCTTTTCCCCTGGCTTATTTATTAACATCTATTGACAAACTGGCAAAATCTCACGTTTTTATAATTCCACAAGGACTTGGTTTATTCTATTGGGTACTCTCCTGAGATTTTGTTGAGATTTATTGTCATGTTCTGTCTTCTGTCATATTTGTGATTAAGCTACTGTTGTGTTATAGATGCCTCCCTCACTCCCTCCTTTTCTTTCTTTTTTGACAGAAGTCTTGTACTTTTAACAGCTGTATAACAACCAGTTTTTCCTTGCATGAAAAGTCAGAGGTGAAAAAAGGCAAATTGCTAATTTTTCCTTTTAAGGCAACTGTTAGGGGCACAGAAATGGGCAACTTTGATAAGAAAACACCAGCAGTGCAGCCCTATACAAGCTCTATTCAGGTTCCTCTCAGAAAGTCCATTGTGCCAACTTTCCATCCTCTGAAAGCCTGTGAGACATCATGGGACTATATCACACGGGGGAAATCCTGTGCAGAAACGGGGTTTTAAATAGGAAAAAAAACACAAAAGTGGGTAGATTTTCATACTATGTCACTTTTAAAGTGTGTTTTACTTGACCACCACAATTCAAAAAGGATGTTGAAAAACTGGAGCGTGTCCAAAGG